ACAGGGGGGGTCCCCACAGGGGGGGTCCCCCGAGGGGGGGTCCCCCGAGCAGGAGGGGTTCTTCTCGCTGCTGAGCTCCGTGCAGGGAACGCGCATGGACGAACAGCGCTGCAGCCTGGGGGGGGACACCGGTGAGCGACACGGGGAGGACAGGAGGGGACAGCTGCTGTGGGATACGGGGGGGTCATGGAAGGGGGGGCACCGGTGACAAGGGGGGACAGCGGGAGGGACACGGGGGGGCACGGGGTGAGGGACACAAGATGCCCACGGTGACCCGGGGGTGTCCCTGGGGTGTCCCCAAGGTGGCCGTGGGGTGTCCCTGGTGACCCGGCTGTCCCATGGGGTGTCCCTGCTGTCCCAGGTGACCCCCGAGGTGTCCCTGGTGTCCCATGGGTGTCCCTGCTGTCCCCGGTGGGGACAAGGGGGGACAGCAGGAGGGACACGGGGGGGGGGCACGGGGTGAGGGACACGAGATGCCCACGGTGACCCGAGGGAGCCCAAGGCGCCCGTGGTGACCCGGGGGTGTCCCTGGGATGCCCCAGGGGTGTCCCCAAGGTGGCCGTGGGTGCCACTGGTGTCCCCGAGGTGCCCACGGGTGCCCCTGGTGACCCCGAGGTGCCCGTGGTGCCCTGGCTGTCCCTGTCCCTGAGCTGCCCGTGGGGTGTCCCTGGTGCCCCGGCTGTCCCATGGGGTGTCCCTGCTGTCCCTGGTGACCCCCGAGGTGTCCCTGGTGTCCCATGGGTGTCCCTGCTGTCCCCGGTGTCCCCGCTGTCCCTGGTGTTCCCGCTGTCCCATAGGTGTCCCTGCTGTCCCCGCTGTCCCATGGGGTGTCCCCGCTGTCCCCGCTGTCCCATGGGGTGTCCCCGGTGTCCCCGGTGACCCGCTGTCCCCGCAGGAGGAGGGGGCTCGCAGCCGCCCCCCGAGCTGGCCTCGCTGCTGGACATGGTGGCGAGCTCGCAGGGCCGCAGGATGGACGAGCAGCGGCTGCCCGTGCCCAGGCTGCCCGGCTTCGGCTCGGGGGGCGAGCAGGTGGGCACGGGGGGGGCACCGGGGGGCACCGGTATGGGGTGTCCCCGCTGTCCCCGCTGTCCCATGGGGTGTCCCCGCTGTCCCCGCTGTCCCATGGGGTGTCCCCGCTGTCCCCGCTGTCCCATGGGGTGTCCCCGCTGTCCCCGCTGTCCCATGGGGTGTCCCCGCTGTCCCCGCTGTCCCATGGGGTGTCCCCGCTGTCCCCGCTGTCCCATGGGGTGTCCCCGCTGTCCCCGCTGTCCCATGGGGTGTCCCCGCTGTCCCCGCTGTCCCATGGGGTGTCCCCGCTGTCCCCGCTGTCCCATGGGGTGTCCCTGCTGTCCCCGGTGACCCGCTGTCCCATGGGGTGTCCCCGGTGTCCCCGCTGTCCCCGCTGTCCCTGGTGTCCCCGGTGTCCCCGGTGACCCGCTGTCCCCGCAGGAGGAGGGGGCTCGCAGCCGCCCCCCGAGCTGGCCTCGCTGCTGGACATGGTGGCGAGCTCGCAGGGCCGCAGGATGGACGAGCAGCGGCTGCCCGTGCCCAGGCTGCCCGGCTTCGGCTCGGGGGGCGAGCAGGTGGGCACGGGGGGGGCACCGGGGGGCACCGGTCAATAAACCCCCGAGCACTTGGGGCTGGCACGGCGCGGGGACATTGGGGACATGGGGGGGCACCAGGGGTGGCACAGGGCGGGGACACTGGGGACATGGGGGGGGGCACCAGGGGGTGACACTCATGGGGACATTGGGGACACGGGGGTAGCACTGGCGGTGGCACCCGTGGGGACCTTGGGGGTGGCACTGGGAGTGAGTGACACTCATGGGGACCTTGGGGACATGAGGGTGGCACCAGGGAGGGGCACTGACACCCCTGGGGGTGGCACCAAGGGTGGCAGCGGAGGTGGCACTGACACCTCTGGAGGTGGCACTGAGGATGGCACTGGGGGGTGACACTGGGCAGGGGGTGGCACCAACACCCTTGGGGGTGGCACCGAGGGTGGCACCGGGCAGAGAGGTGGCACTGACATCCCTGGGGGTGGCACTGGGCAGGGGGTGGCACCAACACCCTTGGGGGTGGCACCGAGGGTGGCACCGGGCAGGGGCGTGGCACTGACACCCCTGGGGGTGGCACTGGGCAGGGAGGGACACTGGGGGTGGCACCAAGGGACGCCCGCAGCACTCAGGTGACATTAAGGGACACAGGACACCTGTGGGGGTGGCACCAGGGGACACCGAGGGGCACAGGTGGCACTAAGGGAAGGCAGTGCCACCCTGGTGACACCCTGCGGGCAGTGCCAGCGCCGTTTATTGGGGTGGGGACAGCCGGGGTGGCACGTGTCCCCAAACACGTCACACACACGTCGCACACCTGTCACATGCGTCACACACGTGTCCCCAGCAGCACAGGACACGGGAGTGGCCACGTGGCCGCGGTGGCATCAGGCGAGGGCACGTGTCCCTTGTGCCACCACCACGGGTACTGCTGTGGCCACATGTGGCCATCAACGGTGACAGCGAGTGACAGTGGCTGTTGTCATTGTCACCAACACGGCCACAGAGAGTGACAGCGGCTGTTGTCCCCTCTGTCACCAACACGGCCACAGCAAGTGACAGCGGCTGTTGTCACTGTCACCAACACGGCCACAGCAAGTGACACTGGCTGTTGTCACTGTCACCAACACGGCCACAGCAAGTGACACTGGCTGTTGTCACTGTCACCAACACGGCCACAGCGAGTGACAGCGGCTGCTGTCCCCTCTGTCACTAACACGGCCACAGTGAGTGACAGCGGCTGTTGTCATTGTCACCAACACGGCCACAGCGAGTGACACTGGCTGTTGTCACTGTCACCAACACGGCCATAGCGAGTGACAGCGGCTGCTGTCCCCTCTGTCACTAACACGGCCACAGTGAGTGACAGCGGCTGTTGTCATTGTCACCAACACGGCCACAGCGAGTGACACTGGCTGTTGTCACTGTCACTAACACGGCCACAGCGAGTGACAGCGGCTGCTGTCCCCTCTGTCACCAACACGGCCACAGCGAGTGACACTGGCTGTTGTCACTGTCACCAACACGGCCACAGAGATGCCATCAAAGGCTGCCATGTATCCCCTCTGTCACCAACACAGTCACAGCAAGTGACACCAGCTGCTGCCGCTGTCCCCTCTGTCACCAACGCTGTCACAGCGCAGGTGACATTAAGGGACACAGGACACCTGTGGGGGTGGCACCAGGGGACACCGAGGGGCACAGGTGGCACTAAGGGAAGGCAGTGCCACCCTGGTGACACCCTGCGGGCAGTGCCAGCGCCGTTTATTGGGGCGGGGACAGCCGGGGTGGCACGTGTCCCCAAACACGTCACACACACGTCGCACACCTGTCACATGCGTCACACACGTGTCCCCAGCAGCACAGGACACGGGAGTGGCCACGTGGCCGCGGTGGCATCAGGCGAGGGCACGTGTCCCTTGTGCCACCACCATGGGCACTGCTGTGGCCACGTGGCCATCAACGGTCACAGCGAGTGACACTGGCTGTTGTCACTGTCACCAACACGGCCACAGCAAGTGACACTGGCTGTTGTCACTGTCACCAACACGGCCACAGCGAGTGACAGCGGCTGTTGTCCCCTCTGTCACCAACACGGCCACAGCAAGTGACACTGGCTGTTGTCACTGTCACCAACACGGCCACAGCGAGTGACAGCGGCTGCTGTCCCCTCTGTCACTAACACGGCCACAGTGAGTGACAGCGGCTGTTGTCATTGTCACCAACACGGCCACAGCGAGTGACACTGGCTGTTGTCACTGTCACCAACACGGCCACAGAGATGCCATCAAAGGCTGCCATGTATCCCCTCTGTCACCAACACAGTCACAGCAAGTGACACCAGCTGCTGCCGCTGTCCCCTCTGTCACCAACGCTGTCACAGCGATGCCATCAGCCGTTGTCACTCGTCCCCTCTGTCACCAACACAGCCACGGTGACAGCACCAGGTCGTGCCCACAGTGACACGGCGCTGCCACGTGTCCTTCTGTCACCAATGCCACCACAGTGATGGCACCAGGACGCTGCCAGGTGTCCCTTTTGTCACCAACGCCGCCACAGTGACGCCATCGATGCCATGGGGTGCTGCCACTGTCCCCTTTGCCACCATCACGGTCACAGCGATGCCATCAGGTGCTGCCACTGTCCCTCTGTCACCAGCACAGGTGGCACTGCTGTCACGGTGTGCCCATGGTGACAGGGCAGTGCCAGGCGTGTCCTGTGTCACAGCACGGTCACGTTGAACCAGCGGAGTGTTCGATGCCATGGGGTGCTGTCACTGTCCCTTCTGTCACCAGCACGGGTGGCACTGCTGTCACGGTGTGCCCACGGTGACAGGGCAGTGCCAGGCGTGTCCTGTGTCACAGCACGGTCACGTTGAACCAGCGGAGTGTCCCCTCTGTCACCACGCCCCCTCTGTCACTGCAATGTCCCCTCTGTCACCTGTGTCCTCGCTGTCACCATGTCCCCTCTGCCAGCACTGTGTCCCCTTTGTCAGTGCTGTGTCCCGTGGGTGGCCATGTGTCCCTGGTGTCACTGCCATGTCCCCTCTGCCACCGCTGTGTCCCCACTGTCACCGTGTCCCCTCTGCCAGCACCGTGTCCCCTCTGTCACCACCATATCCCATGGGTGGCCATGTGTCCCCGGTGTCACTGCCACGTCTCTGGTGTCACTGCCATGTCCCTGCTGTCACCGCCGTGTACCCTGGTGGCCGTGTGTCCCACGGTGCCGTGTCCCCGCTGTCCCCTCACGCCTGGGTCCCCCTCCTCTCCCGCAGCCGCTGCTTCAGCTCAGCCATGGCCTGGCGCTGTGGGGACAGGGACAGTGAGGGGACAGGGACAGTGAGGGGACAGGGACAGAGGAACAGGGACAAGGACACTGTGGGGACAGGGACAGTGAGGGGACAGGGACAAGAACAGTGAGGGGACAGGGACAGTGAGGGAACAGGGACAGAGGAATGGGGACAAGGACACTGTGGGGACAGGGACAGTGAGGGGACAGGGACAAGAACAGTGAGGGGACAGGGACAGTGAGGGAACAGGGACAGAGGAATGGGGACAAGGACACTGTGGGGACAGGGACAGAGGAACAGGGACAAGGACACTGTGGGGACAGGGAGAGGGAGGGGACAGGGGACAGAGGAGAGGCATGGGGACAGGAATGGGGACAGGGTTAGGGGAGAGGCATGGGTACAGGAATGGGGACAGGGGATATCAGTGGGTCTGAGGACACCAAGAGGGGACAGGGTCAGTGGACACACACCCAGGGTCAGGGGACAGCAGGGACATGAGGGGACATGAGGTGACACCAGAAGTGTCCCCTGTGGGTTGTCTCTGTACCCCCCTCACTGCCTGTGCGGCAGGGGACCCAAGGGGGACACTGGGGACATTGGGAGCACACAGAGCCAGCATCGG